CACAGACAGTAAGTGCACTGGAGCGGTCGTGCCGCAGGAGCGTGGCTTCTTCTGGGGCGGTCTCAGGGGGAACTTTCCTCTTGCTGTCCTCATCAGAGTCAGAGACCAACACAACTCCACCCTGTCGTCCTCGGGGAGGGGCCTCTGGCTTTACCCACCTGTGGAGAGATGCTGGGGTCTCTGATACTCCCTCTCACACGGCCTGGGGCCCAGGTTCTTCTTCTACAAACACCCACCCTTTAGGCAAATAACCCTAGAAAAATGAAACGTCAGGTCTGGCTCTCTTTTCTTCTCTGGATTAACGCACTCTTGTCTTTCCTCCACAAGGACCTGCCACCAGCTCAGCTACGGAGTGAAAGGGATATTCCGTCACCTCTTCCAGGCTGGCCTTGGTGTGCCCACTGCCTTACTGGCAGACGCGTTACAGTTACCACTTGCTGTCTTTCTCATCGGTCTTCTATTTACCACACTCTCCATTCTCCTCCTTCCCTAACTTCTATGGATAGATTTATTGATTTGAAAATTATACATACTTAAAAATTTCTCTAGAAGTTATCCACATATTATTATATGGATAACATGATATATTTAGATTAAATTGTGTTTATTATTCCCTGTAAAACTCCCCTGCTTCTGTTCTCTCTCTCTTTCTTTTAAGATTTATTTTTATTTATTTGAAAGAGTAACAGAGAGAGGCAGAGAGAGAGAGAGAGAGAGAGAGAGAGAGAGAGAAAGGTCTTCCATCCGCTGGTTCACTACCTGAATGGCTGCAACGGCCAGAGCTGAGCTGATCTGAAGCCAGGAGCCAGGAGCTTCTTCTGGGTCTCCCACCTGGGTGCAGTGGTCCAAGGACTTGGGCCATCTTCTGCTGTTTTCTCAGGCACATTAGCAGGGAGCTGGATCGGAATTGGAGCCGGCACTGCAGGCTGGGGCTTTAATCCACTGAGCCACAGCAGCAGCCCCTCTCTTAACTCTCAAACTGCCATTTTTTTAAAAAAAAGAGTTTTGGGTTGGATTTGTATGGATGTAGTTTTTTGGAGTGCTGTTTTATTAATCATTATTAACTTTGTTTAGTATGGCTTCCTATATCCCATGAGTGTTCCTCTTATTTATCTTGTTGCTGTAATACCCAAATACCCAATTTTGAAACAAAATTTTAAAATATTTTTATTTATTTATTTGGATGGTAGAGTGACAGAGAGGGAGAGGGAGAGGAGGAGGGAGGGAGGGAGGGAGGGAAAGAGGATGAGAGAGAGAGAGAGAGAGAGAGAGAGAGAGAGAGTCTTCCATCCACTGCTTCACTCCCCAAATGGCTGGGGCTGGACCAGGCGGAAGCCAGGAGCCAGGATCTAGGAGCCGGGAGCCAAGAACTCCATTTGTGTCTTCTACATGGGTGCCAGGAACCCAGGTACTGGAGCCATCGCTTGCCTCCTCCGACGTGTGCCAGCAGGAAGCTGCCCCAGCAGGCTCTCCCACGTGGAATGAGAGCACCCCAGGCTGCAGCTTTACCTGCTGGGCCACAACACCTGCCCCCAAAGATAACTTTTGAAGGAAGTCTTTCTGGAGACACTTCCTGAGATTTTGGATGTCTGAAAAGATCTTTATTTACCCTCACAGTTAAGTGACCCTTGGCTAGACATCAAGTTCTCTAAGTTCCAAGTCTTGTCCTTTAATTCTCCCAGATGCACCTGAGTTCCCCTTGCGTCCACTGCGAATACCAAAGAGGCTCACGTCTGGTTTCTTTCCGAAAGCGTTTAGACTATTTTCCCTGATGTTCTTCAAACTAACTGGGTCCTGGGGGAAGACGCGTATCCTGCAGCCGGGCCTCCCGCCACCAGGTGGCAGCACCTAGTTTCCTGCTGGAAACAGCCTCCGGCCCCCATCCAGCCGTGCGATGGCAGCCCTGGCTGTCAGTCTTAGATAACTGGAGCTGGCTACCTCCCTCAGAAACTCCTGGCTTTGGGCCTGGCACTGGTGCAGCGGTTAAGTCACCGCTTGGGACGCCTGCATCCCGAATCAGAGTTCTGGAGTTTCAGCCCCACCCAGCTTGGTTTCCTACTGATGCCTCCTGGGAGGCAGCAGGTGCCGGCTCAAGTCCTTTGGTCCTGCCATCCATGTGGGAGACCTGGGTTGGTTTCCGGACTCCTGGCTCTGCCTGGCCCAGCCCCAGCTGTTGTGAGCATTCGGGGAGTGAATTAGTGGACAGGTGAGCTTTGTCTCTTTACCTTTAAAACAAATAAAAACAAAAACAAAGTTTAAAAAGGAGTCCTGACCTACAAAGCAAAACTATGTGGTAGAATAAATTTTACTGTTGATTTCAGCTGCTGAGTTCTCGGGTCACAGCCACCGACACGTGACACATGCTAGCGACCGCTACCGCCTGAAGGTTGGCGGCGGCTCAAAATCCCTACGCTGAAATCCTAAACCCAAAGTGAGGTTGCGGGGTGGGGTGGGGGGGGGGCAGGGCCTTTTGGGGGTCGAGCAGGCCACGAGGGTAAGGCCCTAACGAGTGGGAGACGGGCCCCACGGAGCTGGCCGTGCCACGCAGGGGCGTGAGGAGGTGCCGCCTGCAGGCGTTCGCCATCCACGGACTCTGCAGGTGCCCGGAGCCTGGGCTCCCGCCTCCGGGACGGTGAGAAGCCAGCCACGCCGCCTGCGGTATTATCTACAGTGTTCCGGGGGCCTAAGACAGGAGGAAGGGGACACGGTGGCACGCCAGCCGCTGGCAAACGATCCCGGGCCTGCCCCGAGCCCTGGCGTCGCCACAGGAGGACGAGCTCCGCCCGTCTCCCCAGCCCACCCGGGGGACCACCGAAGCCGCATCTGCGCGTGTGCAGGACCTGGGCCCTCCGAGGTGTGGACCGCACAGCCAGGCCTGGCGGCGCCGCGCCTCCTGCCTTTGTCCTCAACCCTCTGCACCAGCACACACAGACCACGTGGCGCAGAGAACGGAAGCCTTTCATCTGCATCCCGCCCTGCCAGGCCCTGTTTGGGGATAGGCTCTCCATTTTCTCCATTTGCCATGGTGGTGCTGATCCTTGGGGAGGGAAAGTTTGCTTTGCTGCCGAGCCCTCAGGCCTGCCTCCCGGTTCCACTGGGACTGAAGCTGTCTGGAGCTGCTAGTTCCTGCAACGTGGTCTCCTGCCTTTAAACCTTCTCTCCCACATCTCTCTAAGGCCCCTGTGTCTCTTTCAACAGTGGCATAACTGAGGGGCCGGCGCTGTGGCATAGCGGGTAAACCGCCGCCTGCAGTGCCGGCATCCCAAACGGGCGCCGGTTCGAGTCCCGGCTGCTCCACTTCTGATCCAGCTCTCTGCTATGGCCTGGGAAAGCAGTAGAAGATGGCCCAGGTTCTTGGGACCCTGCACCCGCATGGGAGACCTGGAGGAAGCTCCTGGCTCCTGACTTCGGATCAGCTCAGCTCTGGCTGTTGTGGCCAACTGGGGAGTGAACCAGCAGATGGAAAACCTCTCTCTCTCTCTCTCTCTGTCTGCCTCCTTCTCTCTCTATGTGACTCTGACTTACAAATAAATAAATAATTCTTTTTTTAAAAAAAGTGGCAAAACCAAGAGGTAGGACCCAGGCCCTCAGCCCTCTGCTGCTCTTTGTGAGTTAGAAAGCTACCTAGTATACAATTAATTCTAGTACTAAATTAAAAAAAAAAAAAAAGACCTATCTCCCGTCCCTAGCATTTATGTCGACAAATTGATTCACTCACTCAGCCGGTAGCTAGGCCCTTTCCTACAAACAAGGATCGCTTCAAGGAATCCGCGCGCGGCCCCATTCCCACGCGGCAGCCCTCAGAATGTGGCTGTTCCCGGCACTCGGGGGCTTCGAAGAGCCGACGCCGTGAGAGGGTCCACAGGGCGCCGAGGGGCTGCCCAGCTGGGCAGGGAGCCCCCAGCAGCCGGGGCTGGGGGACGGCCCACCGACGTCCTCTCCCCGTTTCTTTTCCTGGGGTGCCGCTTGTGAGGGCTGGGAGGCAATGCGCTGCCGAGAGGGGCTCCTGACTTCCGCCAGGGCCTTGTGGGGTTTCCGGTGGGGGTCGCCGCGGAGGGGGCGCAGCCACGCTTCCCATGGGCGCGGGTGCACCTGGCGCCTCAGGTTTTTTTTTTTTTTTTTTTTTTTGACAGGCAGAGTGGACAGTGAGAGAGAGAGAGAAAGGTCTTCCTTTGCTGTTGGTTCACCCTTCAGTGGCCGCCATGGCCAGCGCACTGCGGCCAGCGCACCACGCTGATCCGATGGCAGGAGCCAGGTGCTTCTCCTGGTCTCCCATGGGGTGCAGGGCCCAAGCATTTGGGCTATCCTCCACTGCACTCCCGGGCCCCAGCAGAGAGCTGGCCTGGAAGAGGGGCAACCGGGACAGAATCTGGCGCCCCGACCGGGACTAGAACCCGGTGTGCCGGCGCCGCAAGGCGGAGGATTAGCCTAGTGAGCCGCGGCGCCAGCCCACCTCAGGTGGGTCTTGACACAGAGGGATAGGCAGGACAGGCGGGATGGCGGCTGAGCGTCCCTGGGAAAGAGGCTCGCCTCGCCTCACCGGAGCATGTAGAAGGCGACTTCCGTGTGATGGCGTTCGCGAGCTGAACTCCCAGCCACCACCACCGTGAACGGGGACTTTTGTCGTTACAAGTTACCCCAGTCTGAGAGACATAAAACTACTTGTGTGTTTGAGAGGCAGATGGAGAAAGAGGGTTGGAGGGAGCAGAGGAAGGAGCCAGGGCTCTCATTTGCTAATTCATGCCCCCCGAATTCCTGGGACAGCCAAGGGCTGGGTCAGGATGCAGGCAGGAGCTGAGAACTCCATCCAGGTCTCCCACGTGGGTGGCAGGGACCCGAGGACTTGGCCATGGCCGCTGCCTCCCAGGGTCTGCATGAGCAAGAAGCTGGAACTGGGAGTGGAGCTGGGACTTGAACCCAGGACTCTGGGGTGTGAGGCAGGTGTCCTACTTGGAGCTAAACTGCACAGCCAAGTGACTTGGCCATCTGACTTGCTTCAGCCAATGACAGGTGAGCACACGCCACGCGCCACACGCGTCACTTCTGAGCCCAGGCCTCACGAGCCAGCTCATGGCTGTCTGGGGGACGACCTGGGCCCATGCATGAAGATGCAGAGCAGAGCCCAGGTGACCAGCGTTGGACAGGGCACCCGGGTGCGTCTGACCCCTTCTGCGAACCACCAAGACTCGGGCTCACTTGAGCATCAGGCCTACTCACGTGTGGTGAGTTGGGGGAGGGAGACCTACCAGCGGTGGTCCTGTGGATGGTTTGGGAATGAGCTGTTTGAGTTAAGGTGAGAGGCACAGGGACCATCTGGTGACAGGTGTACCTGTCCCTGTGACAGGTATGGCCGAGGGAGAGCTGGGGAGGGTGGAGGGAGGAGTCGGGTGGAGTGAGAGTTGCTGTGTAGCGGGTTCAGCTGCTGCTGCTTGTGTCGCCGGCTTCCCATCCCAGAGCGCCAGGTCCAGTCCTGGCCGCTCCGCGTCTGACTCAGCTCCAGCTACTGCACCTGGGAAGGTGGCAGAGGAAGATGGTCCAAGCGCTTGGGCTCCTGCCACCCATGTGGGAAACCAGAATGGGGCTCCTGGCTTCTGGCTTTGGTCTGGCCCAACCCCAGCCATTGCTGCCATTTCAGAAGTGAACCATTAGATGAAAGATCTCTCTCTCTCTCTGTCTCTCTGTCTCTGTCTCTCTCTCTCTCTCTTTCAAATAAATACATAAACCTTTAAAAATCTGAGACAGCAGTGGAGATGAGCGTTGCTGAGATGAGGGGTTTGTATTTTAGGGACCGCCAAGGAAAACAGAGATAGCAAATGCGCGGAACACAGCTGTGACGCCCCTGGAGGGCAGGGGGCTCTGAGCTGCAGTTCTGCGCTGAGAATCTTGCCTGAGCTGTTCCTGGCTCCCCGCCCGCCCCTCGCCCCGACGTCCAGGCACAGAGCTGCTGTGGTTCGGATACGGATGGAGTTTGTTCCCCTACCGCTTCTGCGTTGGAGGCTTGGTCCCTAGCGTGGCAATGCCTGCCTTGGAAGTCTTCCCAAAGGAATTCATGCTGGCAAAAACCCAAACAAGCCCTGTCGAAAGTCACCTGATGGAAAAATGGGATGAACAGAGAAAACGGGGAAGGTGTTTGTCCAGGGGCTAGGACGCCAGGCCATGAGCCTGCATCCCGCGGCAGAATGCCTCGGGGCAGCTGCTGGCTCTGGGCTCCTGACCCCAGCTTCCTGCTGATGGCTCAAGTAATGGAATTCTTGCCACTCACGTAGGAAACCTGGGGGGAGCTCCTGGCTCCAGCCCAGCCCAGTCCTGGCCACTATGGGCGTTTGGGAATGAACCAGAGGATGGGAGCGCTAGTGGTCTCTCTGAGAATAAAGGCAAAATGACTTTCTTAATTACAGAACCACACAGGTGAAGAGCCTTCAGTACAAAGCTTGGTAAACAATGCAGAATCACTTCTGTCGCTGGTGTGATCCTATAGTCCATCTTCAGCTTTCAAACCACCATTGTCTTTCATTTATGGAATTCATCTAAAGCTGCTTCAAGCCTTAAAAAGAATTCAGATATAAATATCCCTAACAGGAAAGAGCTAGCGAATTTCCTCAGTACTGGATCATTCTTATCTTTTTTTCTCCTTGGTGTCAGAATTTGACAACAGTAAATGCCGTATAAATCAAAAATACACTTGCTGTGAGATTTTCTTTGGCTTTAAAATCCAACTAACATTGAACGGATTGGAAACCAACTCCCATTCTTAAAGGGGAAGTGCACAGTCTGATCTTGTCTTCTAAAAAAGGGACTTGGGCTCATTTTCATCCAGATGCGGAAATGGTGTATGCAAAACAGAGAATCTTGAGACGATGACTTGCTTTAGGAAAACCAAAGATGTATTTGTTTTTGGAATATAAAGTTCAGGAGAGGCGATGAGACTGGGCCAGGCTGAAGCCAGGAGCCAGGAGCCTCTTCCGGGTCTCCCACCTGGGTGCAGGGCCCAAGCACCCGGGCCATCCTCTGCTGCTTTCCCAGGCTCATTAGCAGGGATGCTGGTTGGGAAGTGGAGCAGCCAGGACTAGAACTGGTGCCCACACAGGATGCCAGCACCACAGGTGGAGGCATAAATTCTACGCCACAGGGCTGGCCCCCTGGCGCTAACCTTAAACAGACATGTCTGCTGCATTAAAAAGAGTTGCAGTTTGGGCAGGTGGACACTGGCCTGTGCCCCATAGTGGAGGGCCTGGGTCTGAGTCCCAGCTCTGCTGCCCTCTCCAGCTCCCTGCTCGTGCAGGCCCCGGGAGGCAGCAGTGACGGCGTGGTGTCGGGTCCTTGCCTGGCCTGAGTCCCTGCTTCCCAACGTGAGCCCTAGCTGGGGGCTGTTGTGGGCATCTGGGGAATGAGCCAGTAGATGGGAGTGCTCTTTGTCTCTCTCTCTGACTCTCAAAGGAAAAAATAAAAAGTTGAAATATCACACTGATTGGCTGGTAGGCAACTATTGAAAACTTGTGACAAGAGTCTGCGTGGTTCATGTTATTGATTTATTTTTATTTTTATTTATTTGACAGAATTATAGACAGAGAGAGAGAGAAAGGTCTTCCTTCTGTTGGTTCACTCCCCAAATGGCCACTATGGCTTGGCGCTGCGACGATCTGAAACCAGGAGCCAGGTGCTTCCTCCTGGTCTCCCATGTGGGTGCAGGGCCCAAGCACCACTGCCTTCCTGGGCCAGAGCAGAGAGCTGGACTGGAAGAGGAGCAACCGGGACTAGAACTTGGTGCCCACATGGGATGCTGGCCCTGTAGGCGGAGGATTAACCTAGTGAGCCATGGCGCCGGCCCATGTTATTGATATGTAAAGCTTCTCTCTCTCTCTCTCTCTCTCTCTCTCTCTCTCTCTCTCTCTCAAAGATTTATTTATTTATTGAAAGGCAGAGTTACAGAGAGGTAGAGACAGAGAGAGAGGTTTTCCATCAGCTGGTTCACTCCCCAGATGGCTGCAATGGCCAGGGCTGGGTTGATCCGAAGCCAGGAGCCAGGAGCTTCCTCGAGGTCTCCCACAAGTGCAGGGACCCAAGGACTTGGGCCATCTTCCACTGCTTTCCCAGGCCACAGCAGAGAGCTGGATCGGAAGTGGAGCAGCCGGGACTTGAACAGGTGCCCATATGGGATGCCGGTGCTGCAGGCGGAAGCTTTACCCGCTATGCCACAGTGCTGGCCCCATAAAGCTCCTCTTGATGGCAGCCCAGAGAGCCCATAAGGAGTCGTGATCGAACACGAAGTTGTTTCTCTTACAAAATCCTCCCGCCCTCACGTCCCGGTGCTCTGCACTGTGCGACTGGGACCAGAAAACCAACTGCTGCTTTGCCAGATGGTTCCGCGCTAGGCTTCGGCACTGGCATTCACCCAGAGTGTGCAGAAATAGAGTTGCGCTCCTCCCGGCTTGCCCAGATAGTGCCCAGCTCTGGCCCTGAAACTTCCCCTTGCCGAGGGCTCCTGCCAGGACAGCCGGTCACCTTAGGCAGAAGGCCCGCTCTCCCTGCCTGCCCGCTGTGCTGGGAGCATGGTCAGCGGTTTGGCAGGCTCCATGAAGTGATCTGAAGCGGTCCTGGGACGGGTGAAGGCACCACGCGGGACATCTGCTCCCGTGCTGGAGTTCCTGGTTTGAGTTCCTGATGCTCCGCTTCTGATCCAGCTTCTCGCTAATGTGCACCTTGGGAGGCAGTGAGGATGGCTCAGGAGCTCCATCCCTGCCACTCACGTGGTAGATCCAGAGGGAATTCTGGGTATCTAGTTCGTGCCCAGTCCAGCTCTGGCCATTGAAGGCCTTTGGGGAGTGAATCAGTGGAGGAAAAATCTTGCTTTGGCTGTCTTTCAAAGCAAAAAACAGTCAGAGAAAAAAAAAAAAAGCATTTCAGGGGCCGGCGCTGTGGCACAGTGGGTTAATGCCCTGGCCTGAAGCGCCAGCATTCCATATGGGTGCCGGTTCTAGTCCCGGCTGCTCCACTTCCGATCCAGCTTTCTGCTATGGCCTGGGAAAGCAGTAGAAGATGGCCCAAGTCCTTGGGCCCCTGCACTCATGTGGGAGACCCAGAAGAAGCTCCTGGCTCCTGGCTTCGGATCAGCACAGCTCCAGCTGTTGTGGTCAATTGGGGAGTGAACAATTGGATGAAAGACTTCTCTCTCTCTCTCTCTCTCTCTCTCTCTCTCTCTCTCGGCCTCTCCTCTCTCTGTATAACTCTGACTTTCAAATAAATAAATAAATCTTTTTTAAAAATAGCATTTCGGGGGCTGGCTCTGTGGTGCAGCAGGTTAAAGCCCCAGGCTGCAGTGCCGGCATTCCATATGGGCGCCGGTTCTAGTCCATCTTCTACTGCTTTCCCAGGCCATAGCAGAGAGCTGGATTGGAAGTGGGGATGGTGATGCCACAGGTAGAAGCTTAGCCTACTATGCCACAGCGCTGGCCCCATCTTTTCTTTTTTAAAAGGGTATGGTAAGGGACCTGTGGCCAATAGTAGGGTTGTATGGGTTGTGCACTGCACAAATTTGCTTGACTCAGAGGGTACAGGGAGGCTGGCAGGCGGGGTGAAGTGGGGGGTTGTGTCCACTCAGAGGAAGAGAGTAGCCTTTTCCTAATCTGCACGGTCAGGATGTGGGACAGTGCCGGGCAGCCCGAGGGTCCTGAGGTGGCCATTCCAGGAGCCTGCTCTGATGGCCCCAGCGGTGTGTGCTGGGTGTAGGGTCTGAGACCTGGAGGGTAAATACAGCAGCCGGCGGGGGGGAGGCGAGGCAGGGCCGCCAGGGACCCTGATCCCCCATGGCCGGGGGACTGGCGGACATGAGGGTGGGAGAGGGCCTGAGATGATGGGGCAGCAACGTGAAGAGGAGCGGGGTGCAGGGCGGCGCCGGGGGCACCAGCCCAGGGACAAGCGCTTGGCCTGGGGCGGGCGTCTCCTGGGCTCAGCCACCCTGGCTTTTGCAGGGTCCACGGGTGCCTTGCGCTAACCCTCGGCCTGCAGGCTGCATCTGCAAACGTCCAGGGAATGCCTCGCCTTTGGACTGGAGCCCACTTCTCATCCAGGTGAGGGTTTTGGGGGTGAATCCACGTGATTCTCAGGAAACGCGGTGCCTTCTGTTCGCTGGTTCACTCCCGCATATGGCTGGGCTGGACTCTCAAAGTGCATGAAAAGGTGTTTAGCATCGTGGAGGTCCAGTACAGGGCGAGGGCGCGCCGAGACGTCTGGGGCGCCTCAGCATCTCCTCGTTTACAACAGGGAAGCAAAACTCCACGTGGGCATGGCTACGTTCTTCTGCTTTGCTTTGGATTCTGTGTTGGTGGCGATATTTGTTTTCTGGACAAGAGCAGGTGCGCTGGCTTACGAATCTTTCCTCCCAGCAGAACGTTTCTTCTCACGTACTGGGGATGGATTCATACCCTAGAAACTCTCCTTTGGAAAAACTAGGACTGGGGGCAGGCGCTGTCGCCCACAACGCCGGCATCCCCTGGGGGCGCCACTTCCTGTCCCAGCTGCTCCACTTCCAGTCCAGCTCCCTGCTGATGGCCTGGGAGAAGCAGTGGAAGATGGCCCGAGTGCCTGGGCCCCTGCACCCACGTGGGAGACCTGGATGAAGCTCCTGTCTCCTGGCTCCAGCCTGGCCCAGCCCTGGCCATCACTGCCATCTGCGGAGTGAACCGGTGGACGGAAGACCTCTCTCTCTTGCTCTCTCTCGGTCTCTGTCTCTCTGCCTGTAACTCAGACTTTCAAATAAATAAAAAAAGAAAAGAAAAACTAGATACTCTTATTTCTTTAACCACCAGGAAGATCTTAAAATAGGAGTTTCTGAACCTCACCAGGAACTCACATTGTGTTATTTTAAGCACATCTAAGTCGAGAAATAGAATTTGCTGCTGGCCAGGAGCTCCGCCAAGCGCCAGCCCAGTCTCGACCTCTCCCTCCCCCGATGAGCCAGCAGCTTGGGCCCCTCGGGGAGCCCCTCTGGGTGTGTTCCAGGAAGTTCTCTCCAAGTGTGGGGCCTGGGTTGGTCTTGGTCTTTACCAGGTTTAAGGTGGGTGGGGTCCCAGCTCCACTTCCCATCTGCGTCCTGGCGGGCAGCAGGTCGTGGCTCAAGTCCTCGGGCCCCTGCCGCCCCCAGGGGAGAGCTGGCCCTGGGCTCCTGGCTCCTGGCTTTGGCCTGGTCCAGTTTCGGCTGTTGCAGGTTTTAGGGAGCAGCTGATGGGTGGAAGAGCTCTGTATGTCTCCCCTCAAGGGTGAAAATAAATCTTTTCCGATGTTACTATTGTGTTTTCTTCTTATTCAGAAAATGTTGATTCCTAGTGATATTAACACAATATTCCAGCCGGTGCCGCGGCGCAATAGGCTAATCCTCTGCCTTGCGGCGCCGGCACACCAAGTTCTAGTCCTGGTTGGGGCGCCGGATTCTTTCCCGGTTGCCCCTCTTCCAGGCCAGCTCTCTGCTGTGGCCCGGGAGTGGAGTGGAGGATGGCCCAAGTGCTTGGGACCTGCACCCCATGGGAGACCAGGAGAAGCACCTGGCTCCTGCCTTCGGATCAGCGAGGTGCGCCAGCCACAGCGTGCCGGCCTCGATGGCCATTGGAGGGTGAACCAACAGCAAAAGGAAGACCTTTCTCTCTGTCTCTCTCTCTCTCACTGTCCACTCTGTCAAAAAAAAAAACAAAAAAAAAAAAACAAAAAAACAAAACACCAATATTCTGCTTTATCCAAACACATAGGAATGCTTCAGAAAGTTCCTGGAAAATGAAATTAAAAGATAAATTTATTTTGGTGTGAAAATCTTGACAATCCATGCTTAGCTTTTCTCTGATACACGTTACCTTGAACTTTTTGACATCCTTCTATAGACACAATTTTTTTCTTTTTAAAGATTTATTTATTTATTTGAAAGGCAGAGTTAAGGGGTTGGGGGAAGAGACAGAGAGAGAGGTCTTCCATCTGCTTGTTCACTCCCCAGATGGCTGCAATGGCCAGGGCTGGGCCAGTCTGAAGCCAGGAGCCAGGCGCTCCTTCAGGGTCTCCCACAAGGTGCAGGGGCCCAAGCACTTGGGCCTTCCTCTACTGCTTTCCCAGGCCCAGCAGGGAGCTGGATCGGAAGTAGAATAGTTGGGAATCTAACTGGTACTCATATGGGATGCCAGTGCCATAGGCGGAGACTTTACCTGCTACGCCACAGCACCGACCCCAACATTTTTTTAAAGATTTATTCATTTATTTGAAAGTCAGAGTTACAGAGAGAAGGAGAGAAGAGTTACAGAGAGAGAAAGACACACACACACACACACACACAGAGGAATGTTCCATTTGCTCATTCACTCCCCAAATGGCCGCAACAGCCAGGCCTATGGGATGACGGCTTTACTTGCTGTGCCACAGCGCCAGCCCCGGTACAAAAACTTAACAAATCGCATTTCTTTTTCCAGCTGCATATTGTGGCTTGGTGAGGATGCGGCATAGCGGATTGTACCACAGCCTGTTCAGGGCTGTGTCAGTGACGTCCAGCCCCATTACAATAGGACTTAACTGAGAGACGTCTTCTGTGGACTTCATTATTCTGTCTGCCTTTGGGATAGGACCCTGGAAGTAAGATTGCCAGGGAGGGGCAGGGTGGTGCTGTGGCACAGCGGGTTAAGCTGCTGCCTGCAGCCCCAGCATCCCTTGTGGACGCCGGTTCGAGTCCCGGCTGCTCCACTTCTGATCCAGCTCCCTGCTAATGCACCTGGGAAAGCAGCAGAAGATGGCCCAAGTGCTTGGTCCCCTGCTATCCAGATGGGAGACCCAGGTGGAGTTCCAGGCTCCTGGTTTCATGGAGGTTTTGCCTTCTGTATTCATTCCACCAGCAGGTGTGGGAGTCCCTGGCTGCCCACGGTGTTGCCAGCAGAGAGTAGAGGGAGAGGACTCGCTCTCTCCCACCCACTGGTTCACTCCCGGATGGCTGGGCTGGGGCCAGCGCTAGGAGCTGGGGACTCAATTCCGGCCTCCTCTGTGGGTGGCAGGAAGCGAGCTATGGGGCCATCCCCCATCTCTGCTGTCCACGCTGTCCACCCGGTGCTACTCAGCAGGAAGCTGGAGCCAGGGGTCAGCCCGAGGCACTCTGATGCTGCATGTGGGAGCCCTAAGTTGCCAAACTCCCACCCCTACATTTTTTAGCACCTGGTAGAACCTAGCCCCTCTCGGTTTATCCGCTTTAAAACGAAACATCACCAAATCGGCTCTAGAACAAACACTCTGATCTCTAGACATTGATAAATAACCTGTTCACCACGGTGACGGCCTGTTTCTGGCCTTAGAGTCCAAGCGCCATCTGGTGGCCAATACAAGAAACAGCGTGTGTGTTTTTTTTTTTTTTTTTTTTTTTTTTTTTTTTTTTTTTTTTTTTAAGGAAAATCTATCCGATCAAAGTAGGCACAATTTCACACCCCACACACTTTCTGTGGCTCAGGTGTTTGAGCGTGGCATACCTAGATATTCTGGATGGAAGACGTCAGCCAGGGCCTCAGTCACCAGGCAGCTTGAATGAGGCGGCAGGCCCTTCAGTGAGGACGGTGGCTCATTCCACGCATCCAAGCGGGCTCACCCACACACCTGCCGTCAGCCGGTTGGGCCGCGCATGGAAAGGGGCGTTTGGGTGGTGCAGGGAAGGGGCTGGCTTGAGCTGCGCGGGTCATCTGGGGCGGTCACACTGCCACCTCGCTGCCTGCATCTGTGTCACCGTCACTACCGGTCAAGTCCACACCGCAGCCTGCAAGGCCTGGCGTGATGGTCTCTGCATTATCCGACGCCGCCTGCCCTTCTCCTGGTGCGCCCCGTCCCTCCTGGCCCTCTGCGCTTGCTCCCTCAGTGGGTGCGTCCCTGACTGCCCCTTGACTGGCCACGCCCCCGACGCCCGTCTTCTCCTGCCCCGGCTCCGTTCCTCACCACCTAACGTCATTCACTCACTCGTCATTTGCTCTCCGCACCAGAATGTCTAAGATGCACAGGGAGGGAATCGTGTCCCTAAATCCCCAGCACCAGACACATAGTACGTACTCAAGACGTGCCTTTTTTTTTTTTTTTTTTTTGACAGGCAGAATTAGACAGTGAGAGAGAGAGAGACAGAGAGAAAGGTCTTCCTTCCGTTGGTTCACCCCCCAAATGGCTGTTACAGCCGGCACTGCACCGATCCGAAGCCAGGAGCCAGGTGCTTCTCCTGGTCTCCCATGCGGGTGCAGGGCCCAATCACTTGGGCCATCCTCCACTGCACTCCCTGGCCACAGCAGAGAGCAGGACTGGAAGAGGGGCAACCGGGACAGAATCCGGCGCCCTGACCGGGACTAGAACCCAGTGTGCCGGCACTGCAGGCGGAGGATTAGCCTATTGAGCCGCAGCGCCGGCTCCAAGACATGGTTTTAAACAAATGTAGCACTGAATTTACTGTAGAACTTACCACATTAAAGTGAGTTGGTTCCTCCTTTAGTTCTTTTTTTTTTAAAGATTTATTTATTTGAAAGTCAGAAGTACAGAGAGAGAGAGGGAGAAGGACAGGGAGAGGGACAAGGACAGGGACAGGGACAGGGAGACAGAGAAAAATCTTCCATCTGCTGATTCATTCTCCACATGGCCCTAAGGGGCCAGGCCAAAACCTGGAGTCAGAAGCTTCTTCCAGGTCTCCCACAGGGGTACAGGGGACCAAGCACTTGGGCCATCTTCTACTGCTTTCCCAGGTCATTAGCAGAGAGCTGGATCGGAAGTAGAATAGTTGGGAATTTAACTGGTACTCATATGGGACGCCAGCATCACAGGGGGTGGCTTTACCTGCTATGCCACAAAAACAACCCTCCTCCTTTAGTTTTATTTACGTCATTGGCATGTGAACGCATCCTAAAAGAGAAAGAGATCTTCCATCCGCTGGTTCACCCCCCAAATGGCCACAACAGTCAATGCTGGGCCAGGCTGAAGCCAGGAGCCAGGAACTTCATCCAGGTCTCCCATGTGAGTGGCAGGGGCCCAAACACTTGGGCCATCCTCCGCTGCTTCTCCCAGGCCATTAGCAGGGAGCTGGATTGGAAGTGGAGCAGCCAGGACTGAAACTGGCGCCCTATGGGCGTTGTCATCCCAGGTGGCTGCTTAACCTGCTATGTCGTGGCGCTGGTTCCTCAAAATCGTTTTGCACCCAAAGAACCTGATCTATCAATCCCTGTTCCGCAGACGCCTTGATGAGCCCGCGTACAAGTCCTTTCCCCCGGTGTCGACCATGTCTTTCTACACGGAGCGTTCCCGCACGTGGGTTTACCATTGGCAGACACCAGTACAGCGCTGCGGGCTCCTGCCGCACCGGCCCTCCTTACTGCTTCCGTCTCGGTCCCCGCTGGGTGTCCTCTCACCTAGGACCGAAGGGCCCGCTGGGGCGTTTCTGCAGGGAAGGTCCAGGAGCCACGGCCTGCCCAGCTTCGGGCTGTGGGAATGGCTCAATTCACCCTCCTTTTATTTATGTATTTATTTTTTGAGAAGTGTTATTTTTTTTTCTTCCCCTTGAAAACCTGTGGTTAAGGATCACTGGTCATTTGTTCTCTTTCTTTCTTGTTTTTTTCTTTCTTTCTTATTTTTTTTAAGATTTATTTATTTGAAAGACAGAGTTACAGAGAGGCAAAGAGAGAGGGAGAAAGACAGAGAGAGGTCTTCCATCCGCTGGTTCACTCCCCAGATGGCCACAATGGCTGGAGCTGAGCCGATCTGAAGCCAGGAGCCAGAAGCTTCTTCTGGGTCTCCCACGCAGG